GAAAGAGAAATCAGCCTTGAGGAAAACTCAAGGAAAACTTCAACTACTTGAGGTTATGTACATAGGGATCACTTCCATGCTAGATGTGGCTGCATTTCACAATGAAGGAAGTCAAAAGTTCTTGTGAAAAGCTGCCAGGCTGGAACATAAAGCAAGTTACCCAACTGAAGTTGGGAGAAAAACTAAGGAAAATGAGTTTTGATTAGATAAATCTGTATTTAGCCAACAACACTGACAGAGTTCATGGTCTCTTTATCCTTAATAACCACCTAAGACTAGGACTTCTCTACATCTTGCCCCAAAGCAGCATATTCAGCAGAACAGTGGATCTCAGAGTACCATGGGTAATAGGTAGGAAACATACAGAGCATTACATCAACTGCATGAAGTGTTTAAGCATTTACCATAAGTATTTCACCAGCCCCATATTATCCAACTGCACAGAGTGATTTTATAACCTCCAAAACCCATTCACCTATCTCTTCATACATATCAATCCTCATCATCTAAATTAATAAGTTCGCTGCAGGACAAGGCTTTTGAATGGGATGGATTTGGCAAGGGTGGCACCACAATTAGACAGTGCTAATATACTGCCATTTCACAGACTCTAACCTTGTAACTGCTTATGCCACCATATGAGAATTGGCTAAATATTATGGCCCAGCTACTCAGCAGTTAGACTCTGTCATTAGGGATTGACTAACTACTTCACATACTGTCATTTAAATAAAACTTAATTCCAAGTAAGACTACAGTGAAGGTAGTGAAGTGCTGGAGAAAACCAGTTTACATCTTCAATTCTACATTATAACCCTGAACCTTCAGTAAGAACTCTGCATGCATTTTAATTCAGAAAAAGGCAGTAAATGTATGCTTACTAATGCTCAATAACTAACAAAAACTAAAATCCCAGTGAAGACATGGCAATTTGATTTGTAGTTTTACCATGGAGTTAACAGGTCAAGGGAAACCATAACAGATTTAAGCTCCACCTGCTAACGCTGCAAAAAAAAAAAAAATCAAACCATCTTGCACCTCCTTAGGTTTTTACCTTACAAACGTCACTTCCTGGTGAAAGGAAGCCCTTTGCACCTGTGTGGAGCTACCTGCAGACAGAGCCTAAATTGCTTTGGTTTATAAGGAAAAGGCTGGTATTATTCAACTCCCTCCATTCTGAAAATTAAGCTTATTCTATTTATATCTTGCAACAAATTCTGCCATGAGACCCCCAACTGACAACTTCGTGGGTGCATGAAGCAAGCAGGTTTTTAGAGAATAGAAATTATGAGTTACTTTTTGATCAAAAGGGATACTGTAAACTTTCCCTGTGAAATAAACTTGGACATGGAATGAAAATTCTGGACTATATCATTCAACTTTGTTCTACAGCTGTTAAGCTAACGAGAATTAGCCAAGTATTTTAGAAACACTTCAATGTGCACCAAGCCATGCAGTTGTGCCACCACTTAACTCATATTTCTGGCACTAACTTGACCTGCAGCCTTATGCTTCACACCATGGCATCACTATTACTTCACTGTATTACTCTTTAAAAGTATGAATCTTTTAGAAAAAATTAACTAACTACAAAAAACACTATTCAGAGCAAGAGTTTTGAATTAATATTTGAAGAAACAGTGCAATAAACTTAAATTAACTAATGCATAATACCAATATATTGTTACATGACATTACTTTGCAATTTATTGGACAACTGTAGTTCAAACTTTTTTTTTTTTTATTAAGCACATTCCACAGTACAAAGCTTTAGATCATGAACAATATCTGTACAATTTAACAGTTTCAATAAGCTGTTCATACACAAACTTTCCAAACAGATAATTGGCAAACATAATTACAAGTTAGAATTAGACTATCCCAGTGCTTTGAAACATTAATATAGCAGTAACGTTCAGTTGCCCAATTATGGTTAGCAAAACAAAGTCCAGAGTGCAGCCAGGAGCACTACCATTAGTCCCAGGAGTCAAGTTCCTTGGATGATGATCACAAAGTCCACTGTTATGTTACACGAAGCACAATCAAAGTAGTTTAGACTGTATATTCAAATACCATTATCTCCCAAGGAAAACATGAAATTAATCTTACACATGCATAAAAAAGGACTCCATTCTTCATAAACAAATACCTTTTTCTTCAGGGTTGCAACAGATTTTTTTTAAACAGTTTTTTTGTTCTTTTAATATTAAAGCTTTAGATGAAAAAGGTAAAGTAAGCCACTTTCACAAACTACTGTCAAGCTTACCAGGAGGTGATCTTATGGACGCTTATAATGCTCATGTTCGCTTCTGTACTTCATGAGCGTGGATAATCTTGGAGAAATAAATATCTTTGTAGTAACATGTAAAAGGGAGTTAACTAACAAACACTGATCCCAACACCTCTCTGTTTGGAGGGTGAAAGAGGAAAGCCGTAAGTTGTACTTTCGTAACATTTCAGCAACATCTGATGTACACTTTCACTTTGAATTTGCCTGACACGCAGAAAGATGATGCATCTAACCATAGCTGTTCCACCAGCATTTTAGTATTATTAATTGGTCAATCTGACATTCCTTAACCTCCTCAACTAAAAAAGTGCTGCTGACAGAGGACAAAATACACAACATACAATGATAGAGGAATGGCAGGGTGCATTTCTGTGCCAACATACTTCTTTCCCAAGAAAAAAAAGGTACATTTTACACTTGGAGTTCAAATTAAGCATTAAAGAAAACCATTGAGAGCTGTAGTCAAGGCAATCTGAAAACAATATTAGAGATGGAATATCAGGGTCTTATTCTGACAGAAAAAAATATGATTAAGTACATGTGACCACATGAATTTGAGAACTATGACAACATAAGAAAGAGCTACTAAGATTTCCCAATAAAGACATGCTAACAAAGAGAAACTGACCATGGCATCGCAATACGGTCATAGTGTAATAGCTCTGGATGAGAAACTTAAATATAACTTTTAATTATGACAATCAGAGTATTGACCTGCAGGGACCTCTAACCCACCTTAAGGAAGTGTTACAAATTTTATATAAATAAATTTAAGGGCTGATGGCATTTTTCCATTAAGCAGCCAACCTAATGCTATGGAAAGACATCAGTAGGCATCTGTGGCAACCTACTGGTTTAAAAAAAGACATTCTGTAAATACTGCGGCACAAAACATAAGATACAGAACATAAATTAAACATTTTTTTTAATTTTTAAAAAGTTTAGAAATTACATTTTAAAATATGTAGTTCCCATTAAAAAAAAGTCCTAATGAATACTGAAAACCTCCTTTAGCAGAGAAATAGTTCTAGGTAAATCATATTAACCCCTTCAGTGCCAGTAGTTAGAATGTCCTGCTGCCAAGTGCTAACACATTTGGTATTAGTGTGTAGTGTCAGGAAATCCTGACTCCTAGCACCTGGAGGTTAAATTGTTATGTACATTTTATCTACATGCTTATACAGTATTTGAAGTGAGGCAAGCACACATGGAAAGGTTTTACTATATCAAACATTAGGAAGCATAGGACGGCTGTAGTACAGAGCACAGTTAAAAAGAAAGAGACACTGCTATACAACTAGCTTAGATAACCTAGCCTGAGTTACAGGTAATCTTTAAATTAAAAGAAGTTATTGGTGCAGAAACAAGTAAACTGTAATCCAAAAATATTACCGATCAATTCAGAATATTTCTAATAGTCCAACGTACACTCCTATCAAACAAAACAGGCTCTGAATTTGTCTTGAAGTCTAAAGGAGAATGGTGACTTTGAAAGCAAAGCTCTGTACATTCTGGGTATGTTTGGCACCCATATTTCATTGGAGAATGTTTTTCTTTAAAGTCAGACAAAAGTGCAAAGCAATATAAATTAGGCCAAGTCCTTTCTTGACATCTGATTTATTTCTGGAAAACAAGCCATCAGAGTTCAGTTTTTACGGACAATTTACATGTGAAGAAGCTTTGGATTTTTCACTGCAGGGAAGGTAGGCTTCTGAAATTCATCTACTTGAAGTCAGTGAACTTTTAATAAATTCCTCAGAGACCATTGCAGAAATGAAGGGAATCAGGAGACACTGAGAAATTTAGATATAGAATTGTGCCGCTTTGCATCTACACAGCATCTATTACCAATTCTGACTTTAGCTGTGAATCAACATCTTCAGGCATGTGTTAGCCAAATATCCAGTAGTTCATGACTGTGAAACCCTGAAAAGACAAAGAAGGTGAAAAAAAATCAGAAGCTACAATGAGTAAAGCATAACCTATTATCTGTAGATACCTGAAAGGCTTAAGAGATACTAGGATCTGATACCACCATTGTTGTAGGATGTCAGCTTAGCTTTTCAAGTTGCAGAATGTAAAACACATTTTAAATTAGTCTGTATAGAAGAGCAGGATTTGAGGTTGTGCAAGCTTTTGAAAATTCAGGGTAGCAACTCTGAACTAAATAAATCTTTCCCTTTTGTGTAATACAAAACAAAAACCTTTGCTAGTTTCTCAGGAACTGGAGGGAATGGGAAATAACAGTTGGCACAGTGGGTCTTGCTGAATGTTGAAACAACTATTTCCTGGGGCTTCAGCCTACACATGACATTTTAGGAAACACAATCCTCTAATTCCTGCTCCTCTGTAAGTATCTTCTGTACCCTATACATGTTCAAAATCTAATTTTTAAAACCACAAGTGTAATCACATGCACTGGAAAACTTCCTTGTGAACCTTTTTGTTTTATTTTCCATCAAATAAAAACAAACTATCCTTCATATGCTGGTAGGATTACGCAGCACTGGCCTGCACCTGTAGGGAGTGGATAAGAAAAGCCAAGGCTGAAACTGAACTGAAACTGGCTACAGCAGGGGTTGTCTTGAGGGGGTACGCGTGGGTGGGCAGGTACTTGAGAAGGCCCTAGGGCAGGGACGGGCAATTATTTTGGGTGGAGGGCTGCTTACTGAGTTTTGACAAGCCATCAAGGGCTGCATGATGGGCAGCCAGGGGCAGAAAAATATTAATTTTCTAAATTTTTTAGGGGCCCCTCGGGCCGGATAGAATGGCTTGGTGGGTTGCATCCATCCTGCAAGCCGCATTTTGCCCACCCCTGCCCTAGGGGGTATGCGCAGGCGGGCATGGAGTGCTGCCATGCACCATCCCAAGCTGCCATGGCCTGGCCGGACACAGGTGGCAGAGGAAACTCACACATGGCAGCTGCCACCTCTCCGTGTCCAGTTGCATCCCCCGCCCCGGCTCCGCCTGCTCAGCATTTGGCTGCATGTCGTCCCTGCCCCCCGGCCAGGGGTATGCTGCTTCGTGTCCAGTCACAAGGGGGTACAATGATCCCAAAAGGTTAAAAACCCCTGGGCTACAGGAATCAAGGGCAATAAAAAGTCCTTCAAATATGTGGGAAGTTGAAAAAAAACAATGTATCACTTCCAACCCTGCTTTTACCCTAAGCCTTTAATCCTGCAACACAGACTGCTGTCACCCGAGCTACACTTACATCAACTGAAGAGTACCCTAGCAAAGCCAGCCTGTGATTGCTCCCTTTCTTTTCTTCCACTACTGAGGCTGGAGGAACTCAATGAACTACTGAGTCTAGACGTTGAGCACAAGGGAACATGTTGCAAGGGAATAAGCCTGGTTATTTTTCAAAGGGTTGCAAATCTGATATTAATTTGGCACAATGCCAATATTCTTGCTGTGAGGGAAGGAAAACTACATTTTTAAGAGTTTATGCTTCAAAGGAAAAATAGAAGTTGACAAGGCAGAGAGGCAGCAATTCCTCAATCAGAAAAGCATTCCTTCTTCAGAATATTAAAGGACTGCTACAAAAAAACAAACAAACCAAAAAACCCCTATCATAGCAGAGAGTTCTGCAAGTTATCACTGAGGCCAAGAGTCTTAGCAGAAATATACCAGTACATTCAGAGGCAATGAAAATATCCAGCTACGTAAGACGGGGAAACACTTCATGAGCAAACGTGTTAAGCTTTGGGGGCAAAACCTAAGTACTACCTGGTTTTTAATTTAAATCCCTCTTTCAACAGGGCTATTCCAGAACTATTCTCTGGGGTAGTTTCTCAGTTCCTTTGAAGGACACAGCACTAGCCAATGTCACAGATAGAAAACTGAACCAACGGATGATGAACTCACTGGACTGATCTGGTAAGATAATTTCTGTTTCCAGGTTTCAGCAGTCTTGGGTATTTTTATAGTATGAAGTGCAACTGTTGGCAGCAATATAAATGACATAAGGAAAAGACACCACTGTTCAAGCAAATGGATCTACAGCAGCGTTTTTACTCAATATACAGTATTTAGAAAACTTAAATCAAGTTGACTTGCAGAGAAATGGAAACAAAACACAAAGTTCAAGTAAGCTGCTTTTGACAGCTTCAAGATGTCATGTTTCCTGACATGATGAAATTTTTCCTTTTGAAAACATTTATTTTTATTACTTGTGGTTATGCTGGGGAATTGTCACTTATGATAAACTTTAGTCACAACAGCAAACATCTTCAGTTTACTGGTGACTCATGCAATGCCAGTTAGCCCTAAAAAAGTAAAGGATAAAGGCCTCAATGAAAAGCAAGCTCTAAATGAACTTGAAAAGATCTTATTTCACAGTGTTGAGGCATATTGTGTGCAATAATAACAACACTGACAGTCGTTTTTATAAGCATGCTGCCATTATGTAAGTTTTCCCAAACAGAGATATTTTTTTAGGTGTTAAACATCTAACTCATCTCATGGCACCCAAGTTAGTAGTATAAAACACAAAACAAACAAAAACCCTCATTTTGCATCTCAAATTTTCTTCCTTAAGAAAAAGAAGAATCCGTTAATCACAAGATGCGCCCTACTCAAGGAACAATGTCAATTCAACCAATGTGGAAACCTGACCTAAAAGATAGATAACATGCCCAGATTCAGAAGCGAGTCAGCAAAACCATCCCAAATAAAAGATTTTCACATGCTTCATGATAAACTTACTCTGATTTCTTCTACATCTTGACTCCTGGTACTCTTGGTCTAGTTCCTCACACAATTTCTAAAACTTTAGGCTCTGAAACATCCTCCCATTAAATATATATTTAGGAATTAAAGTATGCTTATCCAAGGGACTTCAAAGTATTGACTGAAGTGATAAGTGATAAAAAATTGCAGTAATTTCTGAATTGTAGAAGTGTCTGTAGTGATTTCACGAATATTAGATTTAACAAACGTTCTCAGGCCAAGATGTAGCAAGTGACTGTCTTCTAAAATAACCTAGTTATAAACTCTTATTTCTCAAGAAATTAAAAAGCTACTTAAAATTAAATTTATAACTACTTCAATATTGGACCAGAGGCAGTGCAAACTGTAGCAAAGATGCAAGCAGCCAAATATAAACTTGCCAACATCACAGTATCCAGGAACCCAAAGAGCAATACCATGCAAGTATTTCATGATGCAAAAAAGCAGAACGATCACTAAAACTTTAGAAAAACTCAGTAGGAGATGATCTATAAACTGACAACAGGAAGAGCAGTAAAATGCACATACAGAATATATTCAACATAAAGAAGATTTACAATTTTACCTTATGAGGGTAGTAAAGTGCAGACTGTTATCTGGAGATGTAAGTATATGTTCTGGATGGAGAGCGTGTCTCATTCTGGGCACTGGGTGGCACATTTAAGAAGTCCCATATCAAAATCGTGTCATCATGGGAACTACTAATGATTTGAAACTCATCAAACTGGAGTCTAAACACACGTCCTGAATGTTCCTGTAAATAGTAAGAGCTTAGTTAGCGGGACAGGAGGAGGATCAAGTTTCACCAACTTCACACACACATGCCAATCTACACACAAAATTAAGAGATGAACATTTTAATATGCTGGTCAAGAACTGTTTTGTGGGAATTACATGCAGGTCTGAGAAAAAATACTGCTATTTAAATTATAGCAGCAAATTATTCAGTGGTTTCCAAATAAAAATTGTGATAACCGTAAGTTTTCCATGGAGCAGACAGGCAAGAGTTGAAGAGTATTAAGGACCAGCAGAACTGATTTACGGACTACTAACTTAAAGCAAGCAACAGACAAAAAACTGGCTAGCATAGGCAAGCATTCAGGGTTTTATCCGTTGCATAAAATTCTATTATGTTAAACAGGCCTGCTACTTAAAATTAGTGTACAGTCCCCAAAAGCTACTTCAAAGGCCCATCTTCAGTTTACCATATTTTCCTAAAATGACCCTGAATTAAAGACAATACCCCAATAATCAGATTTTATCCATGGAAAAATTATAAATTTGTTATAATTTTCCATGTATAAAATCTCATTATTGGACAGTCATCCAAAATTAGTCCCTTCCCCGCCTGCCTCTCCCCATTCACTCTTAGTCCATGCTGATAGGCCCCATCCCCGATCTAGCATGAGGTACTGAGCACAGCCTTGCCCCTGAAGCAGCCATGCACTGCTGTTATGGGGCTGTGCTCAATGCCTGAAGCTGCAGTATGCACGGAGCCTGACAGTCCAGAGCAAGCTGGGGAGGGAGAGGGTGGAGAGGGACTGGCAGGGGAACAGAGGTTGTATGGGGAGGGCAGAATGGGAAATGGGGAGAAGCAGCTGCAGAGGGGAGATGGCAGGGTGCAGGCAGCAGCTGTGGCTACAGCTCCAACTCTGTGTAGGGATGGAGTCAGAGCTACAGCTACCACCTGCCCTCAACCTCCCTCAGATATAATTATAAGACCCTCAAATGAAGGGGATGGGGGAGGGGACACAGGATTTTATCTTAGAATCAGGTAAACATGATATTCACTATGAGGAATGCAAGCCTAGGTCTGCTTCACTAGAAAGTAAGCAAATTATTAAATATGTCTTTGAGAAAGGAGGAGGGAAGAAAGAATGTAAAAATGCCCATTGCAGGGAATTTCTGAAAAGACCATACCAAATGACACCAGGATGCTAACTCTCCCACAAGACAAGTAACATCCTATGCTTCATCCTGCCAGTTCACCTTCCAAAGTTAGGGGTGGCCAACCTGCAGCACAGGTGCCACAAGTGGCAAGGGCAGACTGTGTGTGGGGCACATGGCTGACTGCAGAAGGGACAGGCAGCACAGGGGCAGGTGCGGCAGAGCGCATAAAGCAGAAGAGCAGTTCAGGCACAGAGAAGAAAGCAGAGCAGCAGCTAGGTAAGGGAGCAGAAAGCTGAGCAGCAGATAGGGCAAGGGGAAAGGATCAGAGTAGCACTAGGAGAGAATATGGGGCTAATTTATGGCATACCTGCCAAAAAGGATAGCCCCACTATTGGAAGTGATGATTTAACTGCAAAGATTGACAACCTGAAGCCCACAGGTCAGTCCTGCTTGCAGAACCTATGGGTCCAACCCAGAGATGTGGGGCTGCAGGCAGTCTCCCCAGGTTGTCATTGAGAGATGTGCCAGCTGCAGGTACTCTCCCTATGCTGCTAAGGTGACAAGTAGCAACAGCAGCAGGGACCTAACGCCTACCCACCTCTGACACAGGGTGGGTAGTCCCAGCCCACAAACAGAATAGGTTGCCTACCCCTGTTTAGGGCAGTGGGGGCCAACTTTTTTGCTAGGTGTACTACAAATTGGCTCCATATCCTTCCTGAATGCTACTCTGATCCCCTTTCCCAAACTGATCAGATTTTTGCTTCTTTCCTTGTGCTCCCTGGCTGTTTGCTTTCTGCTTCATGTTCTATCTTCCATGGTGCTGCTTGTCCCCTTCCAGATGTGCTGTGTGCCACACACGCATACAGAGTGCCATGCCACTTGTGGCACCCATGTTACTAGCTGGCTACTCCTGGTTTCAAGAACAGTAAAACTATATAAATCACAGGGTTAGGTTATTTTGCCCCTGCAAAGATGAGGGTTGAACAACTGGTGGAATGTAGAGCCACAGCAAAGAGCTGTGTAGAACTGCTGCAGTACTCCAGCTGAGTGAAGAAGCAGAATCCTTTGAAATAAAAGCCAAAGCAAAGAGTGGTGTGGTTTGTCCTTCACTCAAGGTTCTGCTGTATTCGCCACAAAGGCTATAACAGATAAGCCCAAGGCTGAAGTCTCTCTCTTGAAGACAAAGAGCTGGTAATGGAAATGAAGTATATTTTTATATGAATAAACTCTATAATCTTCTTAATCTATTATGTCAAGACTACTGATAAGGGTGGGTACTTCAGTAGCAAAGGACAAGCAAAGCTCATTTCACATAAAACAAATAGCTACTGACTTGGACAATATTCAAGCTTTGTATTTGGTGGTGGAACTCTGTGTATTCAGAACAACTGAGACATCCAATTCTCCCACTGTATTATTATAATCATTTTTAAATATGTCAAATGACTGCATAAATCAAAGCCATTCTTACAAAGAAAATAAAATAAAATAAGCAACCACTTAAAATATGATAGCCTTTGAAGTGATTAGAGTTCCTGTGGTAATCCTTTTAAGACTGGGGCCACTCCCTTCCCATGCCTATTTTTCCCCAATTCTGGAATCAGGAATAGGGTTAAAGGAAGGCTGACAGCATTCAAAGTTTGTTCCATTTAGCAAGAATTAATTTAAAGCCAGTGGTACAATATTTATAAGATATTAAAACACCACCCCAAGAACCAAAATGAACCTCACACACTATCAAATTAATTACATTTTTAAGAACATTTGGAAATACCAAGCTAGAAGAATTTAACAGCTGAAGGTTTCTTCTAAGACTAGTAACTCATTGCACACAAAAACATACCCAGTACTTTTGCATCATTGCCAGTTCTGGGAACAGACCAGAACTTGTACAACATACTGAATTTCTTACCTACTCCAGTACACTTGACAGATTTGCAACAACATTTATTAAAACATTCACTCTGACCAAATACAAAGCCTTATTACCGTTTAAAACCCCAAATGTATCAAAGTTTACATACCACCAATGTACGCAAGCATAATGTGCTTGCTGGCGCACGAGGGTCAAGAGCAGCTTGCAAATCCCAAACTTTAATTTTGCTACAAAGTGAAACAAGATGATTATGTTATTGTAACAGAAATGCTGCCTCAAGCGTATTGCAAATATTTTCATCAACATAAATGGAATGGTGGAATTGCCCCAGAGCTCATTTACTTGCAAGAAAAAGGTAGAACGTCTCTGATAATATGCTACAACTAAATTCTTTCGGGCAGGGATTATTTTTGTTTATTTGTATACAGCCCCCAGTACAAGAAGGAACAGCTAGGAGCTGGCACAATACATATATACAAACAAATTTTGCATATGAGCTTCCTAGAATTATAGAAAAGCTGAAAAGATCTCTATCATACTGCCCATAAAGCACACGGAAGAACAGTCCCCCAGAATGGATTTGGGATTACAGACTGCTGCAGGGTAGCTGGAGAATCAAAATTAGTAGAACCAATTCATACAAGAGTGGAAGGGCACTCATGGTCTTCCTTCAATAAGCCTATAACATTCACTTGAATTAAAAATACAAACAAATACCGGAGAGGATAGGTTAACAAAGACAGAATGCAGAAATAGACTGGAATTATCCTGAATTCACTGTATTAAGACATTACTCTTCATAAAATGGTTCCTGGTGCCTTCCCACAGCAATAAAACACCACCAACTTTAAAACTTTTTTGCTCAGTCCAAGTACTGCAGTTTCAAATGTTACAAGTTCTACAGCATACAGTTTCAGAACAAAACAGTTACGGGGTTAGTAAAAAAAGGCAGCCAAGGCCTCTCGGGAAGCATGGGGTTTGTCAGTGACACCTTGGGGAAGGAAAAAATGGAAATGGCCCATTCTCATTGGATGCTGCTTGACACAGATTAATAGTCTATTTTACCAACTTGTGCCATAGCACAAGTCACAGAAACCTGATTAGTAAGACACTTCTATTGATTGTGTAGGAAACTACCAACTTAGTCTTCTGAGGAGAGTCAGAGCTATAAGGAGTTACTGGAAGGTACTTCAAATGGACTAAACGATGCATATTATACATTACTAAAAACACTTTATTTTTAATAGCCTGCAACTGAAAGCTTTGGTGTTTAATTCTCCAGAAAGTAGGCAAAACTTGGGTGAAATATGTATCTATCGTAGGTCATTTACAGAAAGCAAAACACAAATCTGAAGAAAATTCACCTTCTATGTGATGTCTGAGACATAAGAAATTCAAGAGTGCTTTATTATAGAATATATGAATGACCTGAAAATTTGTTTGAAACATACCCATCATAGGCTCCACTAACAATCCTCTTGTTATCAAATCTGATGCATCTAACCAATTCTTCATGGCCTTCTAGTACTCTTAAACAGGCACCACATTCAATGTCCCATAGCCTTAAAGAAACAGTAAAATAGATCTATGAGAAACGCAGTTCCAATGTTAACCTTCCCTCTCGTTACTCCATCTTTTAAACCTAATTTTTCTCCAGAAAGAATCAGACTGCACTGTCAAAGCAAGAGTGCAAGATCCACTTGAGGTTTCTGTATGCACTCCCCAGAAGGGAGTACACTAACTCCGATACATTCTTAGTCAATCAGTACAGCAGAGTAATGCAATGCAGGGTGCCTGCAGGACAGACCAGACCATGTCACAAAACACTTGGGTCCCATCTATACATTACACTTCAGAGGTACTTAACCAGTTACTATATTTACTCAGATATAAAATGACTCTGAATACAAGACAACCCCCCAATGGAAAATTTCTTATATGCAAGTAAATACAGTAATCACATCTTAAGCTATATTGCAGCCACACATTCAATCCACCAAAGGCATGATAAAACAAAAAATAAGTCACAAAGTTATTCCACAAGAAATGATACTTCTTTGGTTTGTTCTAATCCCATGATTAACTGGTGCTCTCCTGTGGCTGGGAGTCCCATCAACTGGCAAGGCTCCTAGGTGCAGGGGTGCAACATGCACTACCATGGCTGCAAGCCCCATCAGCTGTGGGACTTCCACCCACAGAAGCTTGTTACTTGCTGGTGCAGGGAGGGGGAGGAGGGAAGGACTGTGATCCCAGGCTCCCCATATACCAGCAATGAGGCATGACTGGATCTGATGCTGGATCCTACAAATTATGCCTGTGTGGCACGGCAGGAGGCACAATTGTATGGATCATGCATCAGATCCTATCACACTTTTACATGAATTTCCAGAGGGGCCCTTGGTGTCAACAAACAACACTGAACCAGTTCACAGTGAAATGGTTCAAAATAATATTTGATTTTCCAGGTACAACTTTGGACCGTTTCAGGCAAATTTAAATCAGTTTAACAGGCTTGTATGTCTGTCCTCTTCAAGTTCCAACCAGATTTAAACAATTCTAAGTATTGTGTATCCATGCCCTAAGGTTTTCAACAATGATTGCCTGTTCTAATGCTGACAAATATGTCAAAGAAATTATTACACCTTATACATTATATAGAGAAATGAGGCAGGACAGATTCAAAGGTCAGAAAATAACTGCTACTTTTTACACTTCCGAGTGCAAAGTGTAACATTTTGAAGCTCTTTCCTTTCACCCACCTAATAGTGTTGTCTGATGATCCACTCACAACTAGCCGATCCCTGTACTGAAGACAAGCAATGCCACGCTTGTGCCCATTTAGAGTACGTACAAACTCACACGTGCTTGTACTCCAGACCTGTTGAACAAATTAAAATGCTTCATTTTAACAGTTATGGCCTATCAAGGGGTTAAGTAAAACAATTTAGGCTAAATTTCCTAAATAAAATGGGTAGAGGTCCAGTTTTGCTAAGAAAGCAGAGCCTGTAAGCTCTCTGGAAAACAAGTCCACATATTTTGAGTTGCTGCAAGGACTGGCACAATAGAGTTCTAATCCTAAATGAAACTTCTGGGAACTGCTCTAATACATAAATATTTTCAAATCTGCTTTAGTACATATTCAGTAACAAAAAAATTGGAACTTAAGTTTGGCTTGTTACTAATAACATTTCAAAGTGAAAAGGAGAGAAAAGTGAAAAAATAGACAGACTAGTTTTATCATTAGCGCTGGGTTTTCTTTTAACCATGAAACATGGGCAACCATCTTTTGCTGATTAGAGAGAAAACTAGAAGTTTTATCTGCAGAAGGGACAAAGCTGGTTTTTGGGTTTTTTTTAAATGTCAAATTATTTGTTTAGCCAACTTGGCAATTTTTTTTTAAAAAGTTGTATTTAAAGCTGTAATGAAAAGAACCCAATGGATTATTTTCTATCAGTGTACAGTACCTTCAGCAGATGTATGGGACAACTCTGCCCAAAGAACTTTTGGCACAGTCAAAACCAATTATGATTTAAAGGTGGGGGCTAGAGGGGGAGGGAGAGAGGGAGAAAAATGCCCATGTTATTTAGTAATTTTCAGGTAAGTAAACTCTTGGTATGTAATGTAGTCTTTAAACACAGCGTTTTAAATTTTCAAACATGACAGCTTGGTTCAGCTGCTGAGCAGGTGTGGTAGGTAAGGCAGCTGCTGATAAATTTCATGTCTAGGACAAGACGGCCATCTTAATAAAAATATATCATTTGAGAAAAGGAACAAAAGATGCCATGTTTAATTTTCAAGCCAATTTCAAGATCTAGTTGGAGTTTAAACATCATGAGTGGGCTTTAACCTTTCTATAGCTGTATGATAGAAGCCACAAAAATGTTACAAGCCACGCTATTTGCATAGAAACATTAACACCTAATAGAAGGAAGTGATGAAATAAATAGCAAAGAAATACCCACAAACCTATTTCACAAACACATTTGGGACCCAGATTTTAATCACAAACGCAATGTGTAGAAATTTTGAAGTTGAATATTTTCATCTTTTGGGTACAGGTTAGCAATTTTATTTTATTTAGTCATTTCCCAAGTGTAACATCTTCAAAGATAGGCTCTGACAACTTACTTTAATGGTCCTGTCACCTGATGCTGACACAATATACTTGTCATCGAAGTCTACAACATTAACAGCAGCCCGATGGCCAACCAACACACGACGCAGAGTGATGTCAGTAGGTGATGCCATATCCCATACAGCAATGGACCGGTCCTTCGAACACGTCACCATTAAGCCATTACTGAACCGCAGATGAAGCACTGCCTCATTATGATGAATCAGGGTGTTTAGAACTTCACCTGTGTTTACATCCCACACTCTGCAAAAAAAATGTACCCAAAAAGAATTAAAAATGAAAAAATAATGATTATATATGTTACAAATAGGAAACGCACAGGTCTGCCATTCTGATGAATAGCTCTCCAAGCACCTCATTTTCCTGGCTGCCCAAAGCTGCTTTTGTCTTGTAGTTCCCTTATAGGAGACATTTCTTAAAGAAAAAAGGTCTATGTATATAAACCTCATATTAAGTGGAGGGGGAGGGGGGGCATATTAAGGGACTTTGCAACAAAATTCTTACCTCGCTGTTGCCAATTCAAAGATTCAGTACAAGCCTGTAATAATCAAAAGCTTATACCATCTTTGGCTGTCTACTACCTCATGTCAAATGAAGATGTGGTCATCTCCACTCAATACTCAGAGGAATGGCATCCACTGCCCAAAACATACCGTAAGTGGATGAAGAGAATGACCTCTCCCTCCAAGCCACAGCAAAACACTTTGAGGAAAATTGCAGTGCTGCTGTGATGCATCTGGGAGGAGGATTTTGCTTATGACAACTTATCAACAATGCAACTTTACATGAGCATTACATTCGCAGAAAGAACATAGATGTAAGAACATAAGAATGGTCTTCGCACAAGGTGTCCAGGTGGCTCAGCAGTGGGCCGCCAATGGCAGTCACCAGGAGATTTTTAGAGGAACGTGCAAGAAATCTTAAATTGGCAATTACAGAATAGTTGGCCCATCAGAACCTCCTTCCAGTTCCATTCAGACCTTGACTTCTGCCCTGGCTCATAAGGATTTCATTTCTTAAAGTTTTTGGAATTTAAACTCTATAAGCACAGGACTGAAAACTGGGACCAGGAAAAGCTAACAGGTACAGCTTTCTGTTGAATCATGTAAGCACTTTGTGTCTGAAGTCGCTGCTCTGTATTTATCACCAGGAATAGGCCTTATACTTTAGTATTCACAAATCAGTTAACAAGTACTGAGCCTCAGACTTGATCTTAATTCACTGACACTAACAGAGCTCACCTCACTGTAGAATCTGAAGATCCAGTTACAATGACTCTTTCATCATACTGTAGGCAGAGAACTGAGCCAGTGTGTCCCGTTAAGATTTTCAAACATTCCAAGCTTGTTTTATCCCAGATCTGTTAAAAGAAAGTACCATTACAAAGATCTGACAAATGGGTCCAAATTCTGACCTTTCCCATTATGAGCAGAGGGCCAGTGTCGGCAAAAGAGAACCTACAAGCAATGCTTCTTGCAAATTATTTGGCAATTGTCAGGGGTGGGTTTGGGAATGAGCAGGAACTGATACTAAAGCAATCCATTAAGAAAGCGAAAGGGAATACTCAAGCACAGACATGCCCTCCCCCTCCCCCCTGCTTATACTAAACATGATTTTTGCAAGCATTTTACTTTTAGTTGGGCCAAAATGAGCATTGCGCATATTCCAGGGCTGGAAAGTCCCAGAATTCCTGGAGCAAAATACAAATGAGGGTGCTACTACTTTTCCCCGTGGGACCATATAGGGCCACACAAAACACTGTCTCACACAATGAAGAAAATAAATGCCCAAGAAAGCAAAAACAGCCCTGATAGTCTTCTTTCTAAAGCCAAGACCAAAGTACTGCACCTCCTTTATAAATAAAGGGGAAGAAATAAAAAAAAAAGAGTGACTACCTTAATGGAGTTATCTCTTAGGCCACTGATAATCTTTTCATCATCATACTGTAAACAGTAGACACCTTTGCTATTTTCAGAGCGGCACTGAATTCTTTGCAAGTTGTGTCGTCCACATCGCCAGTTTGATTCTATAGTCTAGTAAAAGAGGAAAACTATTGAAAGTGATGTATAAAGCTGCTTATCCTTGGTAAGGCCATGATTTCCGTGATAAGAAGTCATAACTAGCTCTTTCCCCATGAAATAATATTGTATCACATATCAAAATTACTGGTCCTCCTGGATTTTTCATTATATTCATAATTTGAATGTAAAGAGAACTAAAAACTTGCTACTGGAGAATAAAATACAACTAACTAGATAACATCCATCATAACAACACCATGTCTGTGAAAACAAATCAACCAAAACCAAACAAATTAGGAGGAACTCTTAATTTTTGTCCTAGCAAGATACTTTTGCCCCAGTGGTAAAAACTGCAGTTCTTCCTTTATTTATTCCACCATAGATATAGACAAGAAGAGGTATTAGGGACATAGATTCATAGATGTTAGGGTCGGAAGGGACCTCAATAGATCATCGAGTCCGACCCCCTGCATAGGCAGGAAAGAGGGCTGGGTCTAGATGACTCCAGCTAGATGCTTATCTAACCTCCTCTTGAAGACCCCCAGGGTAGGGGAGAGCACCACCTCCCTTGGGAGCCCGTTCCAGACCTTGGCCACTCGAACTGTGAAGAAGTTCTTCCTAATGTCTAGTCTAAATCTGCTCTCTGCTAGCTTATGGCTAGCTTGTAACCCCCAGGGGCGCCTTGGTGAGTAAAACCTCATCATTTCCCTTCTGTGCCCCCATGATGAACTTATAGGCAGCCACAAGGTCGCCTCTCAACCTTCTCTTGTGGAGGCTGAAGAGGTCAGATACTGAATGATGCTGTGTCACAATTCTGAGCCTCATGACAGAACTGTTTAAAGTTCAAAAATGGAGGTCACAGGTAAACTGCAAACTTCAATTGCAATATCAAATAGCAAAATATAGGAGCTGATGTTGACATGTATACCAGAAACATTTCACTTTAAGCCCTTATAAAATCCAATATGATCAGATATATGTTAGTTACGGGAAAATTCTTCCTAAAGCTCTCCTTTAAATATGCAAAATTTAAGCCCCTACGTGTCATTTTGTGTAAAATATACCAGATCTGAAGTGTTAACAAGCAGGCTGTATAAAATGTAACAATAGAAACAGAAATCAATTCTACTAATTAAATTAACATTTAATCAGCTTTATAGCAGTAAAAGGACAAATGCTGAAGTCATTTCACAGAAATCAGAGATCCCGGTTAGAAAGTGTATAACCGTAATCATAAAAGAATCAATGCAGTGAAATCAACACACAAAAACTACAGTCCAACATATGGAATTCCCAGATGCAACGCAATGTTTTTCATCTTCTGTTAACGTATACCAGAGCAGATAAACCATATGATAGATTTCTCTTCCAGAAACTGCGAACAGGTGAACAGAAATTTCAGGAGTGGATCAACTGAGGTTTTGTTGAAGAGAGCTTACTTGCTATTTTGATGCTGTCAGCTTCAATATATATAAACCCACAGGAACCTCATCTCCTCATTTCTGATGCAGAACTTCATTGCTCCATTTTGAACATCTTTCTTGTTCCCTGAACCTGAAAAGCACTCCAAGAAGAAAATGCGCCAAAAGGAAATAAATTTGGCATAGGATTTGGTTTGCCTATTCTTAAAAAATGTGGTTGTCCCAGGCAGACTGGCTTTCCACTTCTATGGAACTACAATTTTCCATGGAGGATGGAACATGTTTTCCATCTAACACAGTTCAAGAAAGAACACAATTCCTCCCCCCACACATACTTCCTGAAGTACCACTGTGGTACCTTTGACTTACAACAGGGGTTTTCAACTTTTTTTTTTTTTTTTTAAACAAATCTCTCTCTCCTCTCTCAAAGTTCCAGCTCTTGTATACCTTTATATTTTTTTCTTGTTTTTAAAAGGGCAGATTGAGACCCCCGTGGTGAGGAAGGAAACAGGGCTGGGGCTGCACAGCCATGGCAGAGCATGGGACAGAGCCACAAGCAGCTCATCTGGGGGGCATGGGGAAGGAGGAGCAGCTCCTACCAATGTATGCATCCTGGGAGGGCATGGGGGTGCATGTGCCCCCAGATGTGTGCTCAGGGCGAGCTGTGCTGACCCAATGGTGGGGGAGGGAGTGGGGTTGGGGCATGGGACTGAGCCTTGCGGGGGCAGCTCCTGCAACTACACGCACCCGCAAGAGGGCACAGGTGGTGTGCCCCCCAATCCGCGTGTGGGGCAGGGTGGGCTGCTGCTGTGGGCTGGGGCCAGTGCTGGGCTGCTCTCTGGGCAGGCAGTGGCAGCACTGGAAGTGGGGCTATGGCGAATTCTGGAGTGGCTGCAGCCCCTCCTGTAGCTCCCTCCCAGTGCTGCTGCCCACCCCAAGTAAAGCCCAGCCCAGTCCCCACCAGGAACAGCCTGGCACTGTCCTGGCCCCAGCCCGCAGTGGCAGGCAGCCCACCCTGCCCTGCACGCAGATCCGAAGGCACACACCCCCACGTCCTCCCGGGGTGCGCATAGCAGCAGAAGCCACCCCCGTGCAGCTGTCTGGTTCCCCACCCCAGCTGGGCAGCCCTTGCCCCTGCCCTAGCTCCACTCCCTCCCCCACTGCTGGGGCCTCGATCTGCCCCCTGAAGGCCCCTTCCCTCCCAACACACTTACCAGCCAGACCTGGCTGCTTTCATGCTGCACTACAGTTTCATAGTAGTTTCATAGCTGCACACACACAGCATTTATCAGCCACATTAGGTCTGTGTACCCCCTACAACCTTTTTAAGTACCCCTAGCGGTACGCTTACACCCATTTGACAACCACTGGTTTACAAGAAGCAGTGATAAATGATTAGGCATGCTTACAAGCCATTTCCCCCACTTCCATTAGCTCGCAGTTACAACACAATTAAAGCAGGAAGCCAGTTTGCATGTCAGTTTCAGACCAGAAGGCTGGGTAGAGATGCACCTTGAAAACTAACTATCTAAATTTAAAATTCCCTTTATTTTCTGTGAAAGAAAACATCCTTTCACAATATTTCATGAAGTGCCCTCAGGCGCACAAACGTGTAAACATCTCTGAGTTATTTAGTTTGTAATGTGCATCTCTAGCTTGTCTTCTACCTGACTTCTGCCTAACATCTCTCTGTTTCAATCAAAACACCTGCCAGTTCAAATTTCTAGCCTGTAATGTACAGCTTGAGCATTAAATAATGATGTTCTATAGTCTGGATTGAATTTGATCAATACAGTAGTTTTGGCACTAGGTTTGCCTTGAAGAGAGCAGACTGTGCATTACAGTATTTGTTTAAGGTGTTCTGGCAGGGGGGAGGGGGGGAGTGATATTAATTGCTAGTTTACATTATTTATTTCCGCTCATTCTGATATATTTATCACCGGCCCTGTGCATGGCAAACAGCAACTCAACTACCAAGTCTTTTGCCGCGATGGTGAGACCATGTATCACATCACTGCTTTGGCAAACATGAGGAGACCATTTATCCTAAAACTGAATAGTACTGATTATACAGCAATTAGACATCTTACAACTAAGCAACTAGTTAAAATGCAATATTGATACATGAGCCACAGGGTCCCTTAATACTACTGGAACAGTTATTTTAATTCATTTTGGAAAGGCCTGAACAAAAATTGTAAATTCAGTTAATTCTAAGGCAAGAAATTGCAATTTGTTGCTCTTAAATGTCAATATTGGTGGGGTTTTTGGATATTTTTATCCTTGCATTTGGATTACATAATTATTGTATATTCTTACACAACAGTACTGCACATAACTGATATATCCAAACATACCATAAGCTTTAAATGATAATCTCTATATTATTCAGAATGTCACACGTGACCATGTAAATTTAAAGAGGATTTAAGGAGAAAATTTCTCTGAAGCAGGGTTATTATATTTTTGACACACTTTAAATAAGTATTTCCGTGTTAAATTTAGCGCTTTTGATTATTCTGACTAATTGTTCAATGCTCTAAAATAGATGAGAAAACAAAATCACTGAAAACAATACACTTTCTTTGCAGGCTGATTGTTCTCATCTTTTTGGCATACAGTTTCAGTAATAAGACCAAGCACTGGCAATTTCACAAGTTGTTGAGATGATGTACGTCATACTCAAATTACCAAATAAAATAACAGTCATGACAATTATGCCAACTAAAGGGCTTGGGATAATTTAATTCACAGTTAAGAATTGTACAAGTGGAGGCTACTTAATAATCTTATCCATAAATAAATGTTGGTTTCAAATGAAAGAAATTGAAAAAAATATATATTTATACCTATGCTAGGGCATTATGAAACGGTAAGTCATACACAGGTGCACATTAATTGTACAAGAAGATGTCATTTCGACATTATGTGGTATGGCTACTGTGCGAAAATTTCATGTTTTCTGAGAACTTGTAAAATCCCCTTACACTGCGTAAATTTTCAATATACTGGGAAAGTAGCCACAATACACAGAGAATACACAGCAGCATTTAAATTGGTAATAGAGTGAAAACAGATGTGTGAGTAAAGAAAAATAACATTATTATAAATGACTAAACACAGCCAAGTGGGTGGGCAACCTAAAGGACCCTCTACATAGGAGCACATTAAATACAATACTGACAACCATATAAAAAGCTTCTTGCCAATATGAAATTTGTCATAACTGAAAGGTGCAACTAATAAAGATTTTCATTTGCAACCTCCTCCTAGCAGATCTTTTTATGAATAGTTCCATAATGTACTCCATGGGCAGAGGATCTATGT